TGGGGTCAGAGTCTGTAGAGAGAATGAGGCAGCCATAAAGAAGAAAATGGATAATGACATGGGGATAAGCAAGGGGGTACCTGAGAACCGATGCTATGGGGTGGAGGGGGCAATGCATTGTGTAAGGAGTGAGGAGAGGGAAGCTGTGCTGCAGAGGAGGGCCTTCTACCCACACTGCTGCTGGAGGAAGAGCAAACGCTGGCTGCCTCCCCAGGGCAGGCAGGAACAGGCTGCTGCTCCTTGCCTCCTCCTCCCTGCTCCAGCTGCTGCAGGACAGGGTGGTGCCAGAGGTGCCTGCCTTGGCAAATGGGGACTCTCACATCAGGTTGGGCAAGTATCGAGTGAGTTCCTAGGATCATGATCCTTTCTTGGCTCTGGAGGCACTTTCCCATGCAAAAAAACACCTCCTCTGCCCTGCCAGTCCCAACACCTTCCAGATCCTCCCAGTTCTCTTACCATGTCATGTGGCTGAACACTAACAACTTGACAGCCAGGATGATCATTAGTTTCTCCTATTAAATGCATCTACTCACTGATTAGTATCTTTGGGCCCATTTGTTGTCTTTCTGAAGTGTCAGTCACTTGACCAACTTGATAAACTTTTATGATGAAATGGCTGGCTTGGTAGATGAGGGTAGAGCAGCGGACGTTATCTACCCTGACTTCAGTAAGGCCTTTGACGCTGTCTCCTATAAGATCCTCATAGAGAAGCCAATGGAAGTATGGGCTGGGTGAGGAAACAGCAGGGTGGACTGAAAACTGGCTGAATGGCCAGGCCCAGTGAGTGGTGATCAGTGGCATAAAGTCTAGCTGGAGGCCAGTAACTAGCAGTGTACCCCAGGGGTCAGTGCTGGATCTGATCCTGTTTAGCATCTTCATTAATGATCTGGATGATGGGGCAGAGCGTAGCCTCAGCAAGTTTGCTGATGACACAAAACTGGCAGGAGTGGCTGATAGACCAGAGGGTCATGCTACCTTCCAGAGGGACCTTGGCATGCTGGAGAAATGGGCTGGCAGGAACCCTTGTGAAGTTCAACGAGGAGACATGCAAAGTCCTGCCCCTGGGAATGAATAGCCCCAGGCACCAGTAAATTCTGGGGACCACCCAGCTGGAAAGCAGCTTGGCAGAAAAGGACCTGAGGTCCTAGTGGACACCATGTTGAACATGAACCAGCAATGTGCTCTTGCAGCAAAGGATGCTAACAGTATCGTAGCCTGCCTTAGGTGGAGTGTTGCCGGCAGGTTGAGGGAGGGGATCCTTCCCCTCTATTCAGCACTGGTGAGGCCACACCTGGAGTGCTGTGTCCAGTTCTGGGCTTCCCAATACAAGAGAGACAGGGACATACTGGAGAGAGTCCAGGGAAGGGTCACAAAGATGAGTAAGGGACTGGAGCATCTCTTCTATGAGGAAAGGCTGAGAGTGCTGGGACTTTTCAGCCTGGAGAAGAGAAGGCTCGGGGACAGACCTTGTCAATGTGTGTATATACCTGAAGGGAGGGTGCAAAGAAGATGGAGCCAGGATCTTCTCAGTGGTGCCCAGCAACTGGACCAGAGGCAATGGGCACACACTGAAACACAGGAGGTTCTCTCTGAACATCAGGAAACACTTTTTTACTGTGAGGGTGACTGAGCACCGGCACAGTTTGCCCAGGGAGGTTGTGGATTCTCCATCCTTGGAGATAGGGAGTGCTGCTTCAGAAGGGGGGTTGGACCAGATGGCCTCCAGAGGTCCCTTCCAATCTCAGTTGTTCTGTGATTCTGTGAAAGGGAAGAAAGCAGTATGCTTGAGAATGAACATAGCTGTTAATAAGCTGATCCCAGGAAAACAGGAGTGTGACAAAGAACATTTCAAACTAGGGGACATCAGGTTGTCAAAGGCTCAGTCCCCTAGAAGTCAGGCCCGTGAGAGCAGTCTTGATGGAGGTCACAGCAGTATAGGAAAACAGCAGACAGCCACGGCCTGGCTTCCAGGTTACCCACCATCAAATCATGAATGCCGCACACAAATGGGAGCAGCGCAGCTCAGTTCACTCTGGCTCAAGGGATATTTTCCTGTGGAAGCCGGATCCCCTACTCATACATGTGACCCTTTTCCACATTGCCCCAAGCTCCTAAGAGCCCAGAGGGACTTCTTGCAGCTCTCTGCCTCATCCACCGGTCCGTGCCCAAGGATGGCTGGAGTCTGGGAGGCAGGGTGAAGTTGTCTCTCCCCCAGCCGGGGGAACACAGGCATCCCTAACTTCTCCCTGGGCCTTGTCCACAGCAGGCAGGGCTCAGCAGGTTGCTACTTACATCATCCAGCCAGCAGTTGCCACAGTAACCACGCTTATGGATGAAGGATCCCAGGTTCCTGGGATAACGGAAGGACCGCCACCTGCGTGGGTGTTGTCTCCATTGCACGGCAGGAAAGGACGATGCAATTTTCTGAAGGTGAGAAAATAAATGCTCTTCCTCACGCTACACCACTGCTTCAGCTCTGCTCCACGCAGCCCCGTGCTCCCAGGCAACTGCACTGCTTCCTTGAACACTCAACCTGAGAAGAAAAACTGCTTTAGACGAGAAGAAATCAGCCTACCCTGGCAGGAGCCATCACTTTTTTCAGTTTCAACAGCAGGTTTGCTCTGCAGCCCCACCACACCCAGCCCAGAGGGAACCAAGGCCTGACCCCCATGAGGATCACAGACCCCTTAATGTCAGTGGTTGAACGCATGTCCGAAGGGCTTGGATGGAGAACTCCCTGTCCCTCGGGGACCCTTCCAGTTTAGTTTTCTAATAAGATCTGTTCACACTCACCTTCATTACGTGCAGGAGCAATAGTAGCAGGGGGAAGCCACACAAAACCAAAGCCTGGCAGACCTGATGGATCCCTATAGTGCTGCTCTCATCCCCACCCAAAGCAAGAGCAGCCCTGTGGCTAGAGGCAGCACTTATCCCCCTGCTTCCATGGCTGGGGAGAGGAAGCATTTACAGGACGCAGGTCACCCCCGCCTGGTGCCCTCAGCTACATGAAGAACCAAGGGAAGGCCATGTAAAACCTATTCCCCTTCTGCTCCAAGTCCACCTCTGCTTCATAGCAAAGCCCTCAGGGAGAGGTGCACCAGATTGAAAGAAGTTACATGGTCATAAGAGATAGAGATCAGCCATCGCCTCTGCCGAGCTCTGTCTTCAGCAGCAGCTGCGTGAAAAAGAAAACCTGCTCTGCAGGGTCACCATTTGGGATCCAAAGGACGAACTCCAAAGTCTCTTTGGAGCGGGCCCAAATGTAGGCTGTTACAATCCACTTAGCTACTGGATTCCCTTCTGTTTCCCAGTGTGCCAGCCTGGGAGGCCACAGCCTCCAAACTCCCATCTGCTGGCTGGGAGAGCTGGAGAAGACAGAGCGAACAAGGCAGAGAGCACGAGAAGGACTTGCCCTCAAAGCAGGCTAGAAAAAAGGGGGCAACTGCTGGGGATGCTTGTGCCATGCACCATCTCCTCTGTACGCACACGCGCAACCAACTCGGTCTATGCAATTTGCAGCCATACAGAGCATTCCCAGCTGTGGCCCCAAGTCACAACAGCAGTGCTCTGAGTTTCAGCCTGATGTAAGAATGGAGTGCTCTGAAAAATAAGTCAGGGTCCGGGTATCTCTAGTTAGGCAGCCGGCGTTAGCAGACACATTAGGCATTGACCTTGCCTCTGCTCGATGATGCAAGCATTGGTCGGGTGCTCATTAAGGGAGTACCAGTCCTCTGGTTGTCTAATTGGAGACAGGACAGAAAAAAAAGGAGAGACAGACGCATATAAAGGAGACCAATTAAGAAGACAGGCAGTCTTTAGAGACTTCTTTGGATGTTCTTTTATTTCAGAGGGCTGTTTCTAAATTATTTTGAAGGGGGGATGTGTGCGAAAAAAGACACTCAGTGCCTCGAATGATCCTAGGGCTGGTAAGTTGCATCTAGTTCTGCCACATGGGCTGACACAGCACTAACTTATGCGGAGGCTGGTTATTCAGCTGGACAGCTGAGCTCTCAAGCGGGAGATGTGATGCTTGGTTACCACCAACAGTTGTTCAAAGGGCTGAAGGATTTGGCTCCCGTATGAGGAAGGGAGGCAAAGTACCTTCAAGCGATTTCAGATGCTTTTCTCGCTCCAGCCTGGGACCACAGCCAAACTTGGGGAGAGAATGCAGGGCATGGTAAGCGCAGTCCAGTGAAGGCCACCTCCAGGGGTACAGCGATACCCACCTCCCCTTCACTCAAAGCTTAGCGTAGTCAAGAAGGGTCACAGCAAAACCTTGCCTGGGCAGTTCTCAGCCCTCTGCAAGCTAGATGTGGGTGACAGAAGGCACCTCACCCCTACCCCTAGCAGAGCAGGGCACTGCTGCATCGGGGTCCACCTGACTAGCAGCAGGCAGACTCCAGGCACAGCACAGGAACCCACTGCTCCCCAGCGAGGAATCACCCATGCCGTGTCATGCACAGGCAGCTGGCAAAGACTGCATCGCTCACTGCTCCAATTCACCTGGTTGGACCCCGTGCCCTACCCCATAGCCCCAACCGACCACCTCCACCCTCAACTCCAGTTCTGAGACCCCAGTAAGAGACAGCAGCACACACGCTGTCCGCAAGACATTGCCCATCCCTCTCTTGTCTACCCAGCAGCACCCCCTTGAGTGAGGCAAGGTCTTGCCACATCCTCATCTTCCAGGGCTCAAAGGTACCCAGGTCATTCTCATCTTGATGGGACCACCGGCAAAAAAAGGAGGCCGTTTCCAGCCTACGCTCACACTTTATTATATACAGACACACGGTGAGTGTAAGAACATCAACATGGGACATGGACAGTAAGGGAGGCCCAAAGGCAATGCCCCCTGTCCCCTTGGTGCAACCAGTCAGCATAGTTTATAGAAATCATACAGTATTTGAACAATAAATAATTTTGATAAATAAGATCAATAAATTAAAAAAAAAAGTAGAAAGACAAAGCAGCAAGGAATGATTTTGAGGGAAATTACACATTCACAGCAGTGACACCACCACCACCACCTCACCTGCACACCAACAGCTGGAGCACAGACCCCCATCAGCCCTTTTCTCTCACCGTACTATGGCAAAATCCACTGAGGAAGGGGAACTGGGGAGAACTGTACAGTTCACTACTGCTGTGCTGTCGTGGTCTAGGAGCCCTCTCTCCTTCACAAGCCCCTTCGCAAAGGGTGCCTGAAAACAAGGTACAACTGCAGACCTGCTGTGGGCAATCACAGCTTGTCTGTTTGGCACAAAAAAAACCCTCAAGCCAGTCTCTTCCCTCTCTATAGTCCTTCTGATGGACACCGGCACAGTTTTTAACTGAGTCGGGGCAGGGGGTGGTGGGGGAAACATCTCTAAGGAAAGGGGGAGAGAAGAGATGAGGCAATGCTCCCCTTCACTTGTGGGAGGCAGCGATGCTCTCATTCATCGCTCCAGAACGCTCCTTCCACACACTCTGGCACTGATGGAGACCAGGTGGGTGACCACACCAGCCAGTCCCCTGGCACGGAGGGGGTTACCACAAGGACCACGGGGATGCAGCTCAGCAGTCAAGAGTTAGGAGTGAAGGGACAGCAGTAAAAGGCCGCCACTGGTTATCTAAGAGAAAAATAAGCCAGTCGGTCCCTCACCCCTGCGGGGGAGGAGGGGTGCAGGCCAGACAGACACACTGATTTGACCCCTCCTGTCGGCCTCAAGGCCTCCAGCTCTCTCCCAGAGATGCTGGCAGCCGGCATATGAGGGACAGGACTCTGTCCATCACGGATAGCTCTCAGCAGAAAGGAGACAACTTGAACCCTGCCCCCCTCCTGCCAACCCCCCCACATTTGGCCCCCAGAGAAGGGCGTTGGAATGTGAAGAAACCAGGAATTGAGGAAATAGGGCAGTGAGAGAGAAATGGGAACAGATGGGAGATCTGGGATGGGGAACCCGACCCCTCTGCCCTCACATGTACAGACTGCTACTCATCCAGGCCCGGTATCAAGTCTGCAATGCTGTCCACATAGTAATTGGGCACCAGATCCTTGGCAGCAGCGCTGTCGCTGGCCATGTAGGCCTGCGCCTCTTCCAGGCGGGAGACACCCGTCAGGGTGAGGATGGTGGAGAGGCCGCAGTTCTTGCCGAAGAGGATATCTGTCTCCAGACGGTCTCCCACCATGAGGGTGCGGGACGGGTCAACGCCGAAACGCTCCACGATGCAATCAAACATGTAGGTGTTCGGCTTCCCCACCACCAGCGCCTTGCGGCCCGAAGCGGTTTCCACCGCGGCTGTGAGGCTGCCAGTCCCTGGAGAAGGGGGGGAAGGGGGGGGAGAAAATGAAGCGGCTGCGGGCGAACGGGG